CCGAGAAAACCATCCTTGTACAAATCAGCACATTCTTCACTAGAATGCATCTGATGAACTAGAGTCATGCACGGTGCGTTAGCAGTCGTGCCTTGGGAGACCGACAGCTAATGGACTGACTCGATCCCCTTTTAAACCAAGGATAAGACCATAATGACCCTCGGAAATGTGGCCTTTATCTCACCTCTTGTCTCTGCGGGATTCGGTCCTGTGCATGGTACATGTTAAACTTAGACGTCCTGTCATGCCAGCCACTACCCCCGACCTGGACAGGAAACCGGTTCACTGGGGCGGGCCTGAGCTCTCCGGACCAGTTTCGCTGCCTGTTTTTTTTTTCACTTTTAGCCCCACACGCGCCAACAGTCGTGGCCTGGCCAACTCACAGTATAATTTCTTCCTACTCAGCACTGATGGTCAGGCTACGATAGCTCCTTCTTAATTTGCTTTTTTTGACGGTCCCTTAATGCAATCACCGGGTGTTTGTATGTGTGTGCAGTTGGGGGTCAGGTAGTGTGTCACACATCTTGATGGACCGTTTTGCTTTGCCCACCCACTGCGACCAGGTCGCCATATGGTGTCCTGAATTGTCTTCCCACCGGAGGACGGTGTGTTTGGAGGAGAGGGATTGGGGCAAATAAAGCGCAATCCTCGTTCCTATTAAAGTAGTGCACGCACAGGTCACTCCTGAACCCTTTAATGGGGCAGTTGTGCACTTCACAATTTGGCAAATGTCGCAGAAACGTTAAAACTACTGGGAATCTAAGACCGATGCGTGATTCACCGCAAGTAAAGCAATTCGCATTGGGATCTCTGAGGCTTCGAAAGTAATTGCGAAGCTGTGAGCCCAATGAACTGAACTGGCCTTTGGCTTTTTCGTAGTAAATACTTAACCACTGACTGTATGCCTGAAGTTTCAATCCGAGTTGCCTGATTGTCAAATAACGCTCGCATCAGTCCACTATGGTCTTAGTTCAAGTTCCCTGTGGTGGGGAATATTGTTTCAAGTATGAGACAGAAATGGGAATTGCTGCTATGCCTCGGAACTGAGAGCCTGTGGCTTACGCCGGCAAAACGGTTATAGTTATTGTTATTCTAAAATCAAGGTACATCAGTGCACGCTGTTCCTGTATGACCTAGCAAGCAAGAAAAGGACTGATACTGATTGAAAACTTATAAAACGAACAGACCGTGGAAAATGGGATATGGAAATTCTTTGTTATTATACCAAACGATTTGGGTGAATAGTCAAGAAAGAGGTGTTTTACGCAAACCTCACCGAAACGAAACTTTGAGGCCTGGAAAGTTGAAACAGAATTTGGTTCCGAACAGTAATTTCTGGATATTTTTAGGACGGCTGCCAACATATAGACGTCGCATCCTATTCTACTCCTTTGATAGGTTCATATAGCTGGAGCCCGTGAAATTAACTCTGTCATGCCAAAATGGGGGTTTCCAAGCGTCAATGGTCGTGACCCGCCAACCGTCATAGTTCAGTTCGGCATTTTGGAGAAGGGAATAGTCAACCCTCAGGTCATTCTTTTCCTCCCAAAAAAGATGTTTTTATTGTGCAATCACAAAAAGGAAACAAGCTTTCGGTTGTGTTGTTTTTCTTTTGGTACTCACATGCAATATCGCACAAGAACGGCAAGCGGACGTGATCTACTGAGTTGTGTGCTGAGCTGAATGTTGTCTAAATCTCTGTTCCGAACTATTCAACTCTTAAGTGCTACTGTGGCATACGAGGTCAGCTGGCAAGTCCTGCCTTCAGTAATAGACAGGCTGCGACTGATATGGGTTTACTTATATCACGGCAAAAAAAGAAATAAGGTTAATAATTGCAATCCGTCATCGGGCAGACGGTTAATTGTTATTATCCCCGTTAGCCATTATTCGCTTCCAAACTGTCTTCCCCTCTAGAGTGATGCATTTCTATGCCTGACCTTCCGCCTCCGACTACCC